GTTTGATTCTGCATAGTTCAGTCATAGCTCATACTCTTAGAAAAGCAGAGACACCATATTAGCCTAGCATCAGACTGTATACTGTTTATACTGTCAGTGGAGATAATCCACTGAAAAGGGTGTAGGCTTGATTATTGTCCAAAAATACCCTTTAATGCTGGAAAGCGGATTATTAGATCGGTTGAATCAAACTGCTTTATGCATTGGGTGTCTATATGTATACCAGATTCTTTACAATGCTGGCCTTATGTGGTTTTTGTCATTTACTACAGTTTATTTGAGGTCTATAGCTCAGCCCAAAAGTTGAAGCACAGGGGTTAAACAGTATTAAAGTATTGTAAGATATTTATATTGCATTTGGGGATTATTTGTACTTGGCTTTTGTACTTTCTAAGTGATGTGTATAATTAAAAGTGCCATGTCACATCTGTTTTGTATTGTCTTTATTTAATTATATTTCACTTATACTCTGGATTAACCTTACATTAACAATATAGGTCAGAATTTAGGTATCAAGTTAAAGGCAGTTTCTACTAAAGCAAATAAGTTAGCGATGGGCAAATTCGGTTTCAGTAATGTGAACAACAAATAACTTGTCCAGTAAAAAAAATCAGGTCAATTTAACAAGTGCAACAGTGGACTTAAAAAATAAATGTGGAAACATTCAGGTTGAAGTCTTACATGAAATAAATGTCAATTATGCTTGCTGATTGTGAGTAATGTTCCCCACTATAACACCAGCACAAACAGTACATACAAAGAAAAGGTACATATTATTAATAAATAAATATTATTGATATATAATTTACATATACCCTGTTCCATTTTCAGAGAAATTTACATATGTGATGAGAATATTACAATATAAAATATAAAGATATTAACACAAAAGTTTTGAGAGACCTTTTCAACTGATGGTTGATTATTTTAATTCTTCATCTCTGTTCCTCATCTGCAGTGTCATTGCCCTCTCTGTCTCTCACCCCTTCTGCAACTATGCTATGCCCTGCTCTGCTCTGCTATGGCTTGTCTGGGAATTCTCAACAACTCCACTCATACTACTTAAGTTTCCTCTAAGCCTCTGCCTTGCTTTAGCTTCTCTAACAATATACAAAATTCTTCAAATCTGTAAAAGAGCTGTGTTTGAAAAGTGCTTATATTTTCTTAGCAAACTGCACTGTTAATCTTTTAGTAAATTAACTCTGAAAATGGAAGAAAATCTTTTAATGAGTAGTTAGAAGGGTCGGTTTCTTTCGGTTTGCATGAACATTCTTTCACAAACAGCTCTTAGAGACTGTAATCTTTGCTCTGCTATACTTTAAAACCTCAGCTAAATATGAGAATATCTAGAGTATCTAGCTCTTTCTCTATACACCTTACTCAGCGCTGTTTTTAAACACAAAACATTTCTATTATATCATTATAGGCCTTTATTAAAAAAAGATCTAAGGAAATTATACAAATACTTCATATTTTGTGAGTTTTTTTTTTTTTTAACTTGAAATTCAGTGGTTCATTGGCCTCCCACTGTAGTGTAGCTTATTCGGGCAGTGTGGGTGTTAACACTTTGTCTGTGTCCCACTACAGGATCCTGACTGGGCATCCAGCAACGCATTTATGAACAGGTGAGTGGCTATTGTACTGCACCTCTGAAGCACTCCCCGTAAGTCTCCTCACACTGCATATCCACTTACACTCCTGCTCCACTGAGGCCTCAAGTAATTAGTGGTGTCAGTTGTGTGGAATGCATGATGGGTGGCTTGGGTGCTGATTTGCATACACTGACAGCACACACTGAAGCACAAACACAGATGGACATAGAACATAACACACATAAATCTAGATTTGCTATCATAGAAACGAGCATCACTCGCATAGAAATGACGTCCATGAGAAATGTGGGTCATACAAAAATAGCACTACACTGCCTGCCACTCAGAGAAAGCGAGGAAGTACTAAAGCCTGAAAGTCATGTGCTCACAAGGTCAAAGCACGTGTAATGTCTCTCATTATGCACAAGATTGATGGCTAATTCAGTTTACTTTCTACCAGTCTCTACTTCTATGAACAAACACATTACTCGAAACTATTTTCTTCTGTCTTTTGCTACAAAGAAATGTAAAGGGCAATGAATCTACCTATTTATGTTTGATTTGGATATTTGCAAAATTAATACCTGTAGTGGATTTTAAGTAAAGATCGTGGTCGTGGCGTTATGGTATGTGCACAAAACCGTAAGGATTTAGGCTCCACATTTTGGGAATGTAAATAGATCAATATTACAAAAAATTGTCATGTCTTATATTAGTTATCCTGACAAGTTTTCTTTAAATCCTGGTTTAAATTGTTTGAAATGACACACTTGCCCAAAAATTACAGGTCTAGGCTTTTGATGGCATGAGATCTGTATTTTTTTTTTCCAGAAAAGATTGGATGCACACACAAAAAATGTAATGAGAAGACTAATTGAGAAATTATACCATAATGTTAACAACTAGTTAGAAAGTACTTTAACTACACACCATGTTACAACAGCAAAACCATAAACTGTCACTTCCCTAAAGACTGAGTGGTGCCTATAAAATTTATATAAAACTTTTAATGTTACTTTAGATTGTCTCCCTTGCATATATTTTAACCATGTGTTATACACACTTTTAACTGATAACAGTTGATTTAGCCTTTTTAAAACATTTCCATTGTTGTTTATATGCAGTGCATTTTCTGGCCTGTCTTTATTAGGTACAGCACCTCAGCAATGCGAGCCTGGTCATTCTCTCAAGCAGTAAGAACCTCTCTCTTTTCCTCTGTATGTTCACTGATGAGTCATTTCATGCATTTCACTTTTTTCCTGTGTTTTGAATATATCAGTTTTGTTGTCGCACAGTCGAGTGAACTGCAGTACATTGGAAATGAGCTAAAGCAGCAGAGGTCAGAGGTCATACTAAACAGAGTCTGATCCTGGACTGTAAACCATTAACAGTGAGACAATGGCAGACACCCGAGCCATGCAGATATTTGGGGTATATTCTTATACCTCAAATATTTTATGCATACCTGGACATGTTCATTTTTTGTCCCAAAACAGTTATATAATGACGATAATATTACTATTAATAATACTTTTCCTTTCCTACGCATATCTCTAGTATCTAGTGCGTAGTTTAAACACAGTTAATTCTCACTATTCAAAACATTTATGAATTCAAACTTTTACCTTTTCTGCTGTGAATACCTTATACTTTACAGCTTAAAACAAATATATTTTCTCAGAGTTGTAGAATGAGAATATTTCAAGTGATTTAGAGTGAAAACTTCTGAGAGCATGGCAGGTGTGGAGCTCGAATTCCCATTTGTGTGACATGAACATTTAACACACAAGACCCTCTCAGTTGCTTTCCCACGGCCCCCTCCCCACTTCTACACACATGCTGTTACTGTCCAACTATGAATACTGTGTCTGAGTCTATATGAAGTTCAATTTGTATCCCATGACAGAGTATTAAGGCTTTCTTCCACACTCAGCTGATATCTTAGTCAACATATCATTTTTCTACAAAAGTGTCACTGTTCTCTTGTGCAACAGGACAGCTGTTATTGATCCATCTTCGTACTATGTGTATTTGTGTACAGTTTGAGAATGCAAGTTATGGTTGGATTTCTTTACATTTCCTTATTTTCCTTCAGAGGGATGTGCTGTATCTGAGCACTCAGGAGAAGTAATATAGAAGAAGTAAGAATTCACTAGAATTCATAAAGTCATGCAACATATTGATTATGATAAACAGTGGCTCATAGGAAACCATGACCTGCAGGGTATTCCATGAAACACTGCAGCAGTATGACCTGATATCTCTAGTTCAACCTAAGGCACACACTTGGAGAGACAAAGTATGGCCTTTCTGTGTTTTGTCCCTGGTCCCTAGACTTTTTTTATGCATTGGTGTGACCAATCCACCTTCCCATAAAATCGACCAAAGCAGTATGGGGAAGTGTATAAGGACTTCATTCATACTGTGAATATGTAAAAGAAACTGTACAAAAATCCACATGCAGAACAAGTTGAGGAATTTGTGGTTTAAAACAGGCCAGAGGTAAACAGATTTGATTAGCTTGTGTCTGGCCATAATTGTACTACCTGACCTCACTTCTCATTATGATACTTAAGAAAGGAGCTAAGAAAGAAGTGCCTATATGTTATCATCAGCAGTCAATCATTTTAATAGTGTGTGTGCAAACATTGTGAACATTGTTTTGGCTACAGCTCCAACAGTCTGCTGATAAGTATAGAGATTATTAAAGAATGTAAATAAAGTGCACTTTTGACTCTTCAGTTCTGTGGTGCGTCCAGATTTTTAGACATGGCCTAGAACAAAGCTGCTTTTTCAGAATATTTTATTATCTTATCAGTAACTGCTTAATCCTGTTCAGAGTTGCAATGGATCTGGAGCCTATCCCAGGAACATTGGGTGTGAGACAGGAATACACCCTGGATGGGATGCCAGCTCATCGCAAGGCACCATGCACACACATTTAAATACTCTTTAAGTGTAGCCAACCTACTGGCCCTTTTTTTGGGAGGTGGGAGGAAACTGGAGAACCCAGAGGAAACCCATGCAGATATGGGGAGAATATAGGGAGAAACTCCACATAGACAGTAACCTGAGCTTGGGACTGAACCGGGGATCTTGTGAGGGGGCAGCTCAACCCACTGCACCACCATGCTGTCTATCTTAAATTTTAATAGGTTCAAAATGAATGGCCATATAATGACTACTGTACTGGCTTCCTAGTGGCTCTGTAGTTCCTAATGTTGTTGCTGTTCTTCTTCTTTCGGCTGCTCCCATTAGGGGTCGCCACAGCGGCTCACTGGTCCGCATATTTGGTTTGGAGTTTTTATGCCGAATGCCCTTCCTCATGAAACCCTCCCCAATTTTATCCGGGCTTGAGACTGGCACTGGAAGTGCACTGTTTTGTGTAACCCTAGTGGCTGGGGTCGGTTCCCTGGCCGAGAATTGAACCTGGGCCGCGGCGGTGAGAGCCCTGAGGCTTAACCACTAGTCCTCCAAGGACCCGGCTCTATAATACTAAGGCAAAATTATTTGGTCACAGTACTAACAACATTACAATCATTTTAATCAACATGAGATACAATTCATTAAGTCTGCTCGAATTACTGCACTAATTAGTAGTAATAGACCTCTTAGAGATTTGTGATTTAAGGATCAGAGTTTGGGTGGAAGTGATTATTTTTTACCAGTGGTTAACCACGCCACACTCCTGCCTTTATTCCTTTGGGCAAACCGCACTTCTTCTTTTTCCTCGTTAAAAACGCGATTAGAGCGACACCCAGTGGCTATTCCCGGAACTACAGTTACGTGTGAGCACGTTCAAATGCAAGTTAACGCTTTCGGAGTCGTGTTTGGGAACTTTTACATGAGGGCCATACGTGCTATATCATTTTATACTAGAATAAAAGAAGTAAGCAACAGGCACTGAGTTATCTCTTGATTCCACTGTAGTCTTAGACATATGTGCATCCGACAGTGGTTGCCATGCTCTGTAAATTCCCCAACAGTCTACAGAATATATGGTTCCAGAAAAGAAGGTTTAAACCCAAAGCTGCGATCACTGAAAAGCCGGATCCAGGTAGGATATGTGTTAAGGAAATATAGTGGGAAGGAAGAAAGAGAAAAACGAGTGAATCCACGTGTCCTGCTGTGTGGGAGCGAAACATGGCGCTTTTTCAAGCCACACACTGAGACCAAACCTGAACTTCACTTTCACAGTTCCTCTTTCTTCTGTCAGCACTGGGTTTAACTATCAGTCACACACCTATAGCTACTGAATGACTAAGGAAGGGAGCTTAAGTATAACGCTTAGGCTTTTTCTTTCGTTCTTCTTCTTTTTCTACGTGGCTCAGTCCCTAACCGCATATTGTGGTACCAAGTAGTCTACATCCATTTCAGTGAACTAGATGATCATTGTGTGTGATGTGGTTGGGTGGTGCGCGTGCCTGATTTCATGAAGCACACACACACAAAAAAAAAAGCCCGGAAGAGTAATTCGGACATTTTAGTTTTTGCGTAAGGCATAAGGAGAACTTTTCACAAGCGTGTGGAGTTTGAATTTTTGTCACTTCTCGCCGCTAGAGGAGAATGTTGGATCGAGACAAAACTGAAGGTTTCTCGCCTTCATCCAGTCTAAGTAAGTCTACAGTAACGGCTATGACACTGGTGAGGCACTTTGGATTTGGGACTTTGGGGGTGTTACCAGCTGTTTTTAACGTATGTATAATTCATGGCATAACTGCAGTGTATTTCACTTATACAAATAACCTGTTTCATTTATACAATAAGTAAAATGACACATTCTTTGGAGTATAATTGTCAACTCAATGTTCTTTTTTTTTTCCTAGTTACCCTGAGTTGGCAGTTTATTAGGTACAGTCAGTCTAGCACCTAATAATTTGGCAACTCAATGTAACTGCAAA